CGGCTGATAAATTATGATGTGGGTCTCCTGCCGGTACCTCCAACTCCTCCAACTACAGTCAACAGTCAGGCCAGAAAGCGTATTATACCACGACTACCACAATACCCTTTAAGTGTAGCCCAAATGGACAGCCTAAAAACCCAGATTGACCATTATCTACAGATAAAAGGTCCTCACCCCAACCCAGTTGCCGTGTAACACCCCATTATTCCCAGTAGCCAAAAAGACAGCACCAGGTCAACCGACCACCTACCAGCTGGTACATGACCTGGAGAGCGGCAAAACAAAATCATCATCAGTGATGCCCCTTTGGTGCCCAATCCACATATACCCTGCTGGCGACTGTACCACCCCAATGCCAAATTTTTTACCGTCATTGATCTGTCAAACGCGTTTTTTTTGGTACCCCTGGACCCCCAGTGCTAGTACCTTTTGCTTTCTCCTTCCAGAGAACCCCCCCCCGCCCTCCCACCCCCCCCCGCCCTTTTTTTTTTTGACTTCTCCTTCCAGGTCCGACAATTTACCTGGACCCGTCTCCCCAGAGGGCGGTAACCAGCCCCCTCGAGTACAGCTGCAAGCTGACAATCATGTTAGATCAGTTGGACCCCAATGAATCCAGAGGTGGTGTTGTTACTGTATGTCGATGACTTTGCTACTTTGCTGTCCCACTAAAGAGGATTGTATCAGCATACTGTTTCATTACTTCAACCATCTGGCGTCAACGGGCAACAAGACCAGCAAGGAGAAACTACAACTCTGCCAGGAAAAAGTCATCTTCTTGGGGGCATTGTATTTCTCAGAGCACCAGGCACCTAACAACCCAAAGAGTGCAGACACTGCAAGACCTAAAGAGACCCCAAAACACCATCCGTCAGCTGAAGAGCCGTCCTCAGCTTATCAACTACTGCAGAGATTAGTCTCTTCAAGATTTGACCCAGGAACTCTCTAGAGCACCAGCCCTAGGTCTACCCAACTATGACCTACTTTTCTACCTTTTCTGTCACGAAAGTCAGGGCCATGCAACTGGAGTACTAACCCAATTTTTTTGTCACGGAACCAGTTACTGCCCCATCATGTAACTATCAAACCGCTCTGGACCCAGTTCATCAAAGGGTCCCCGGTTGTGTGAGAGGGCAGTTGACCGCTTGGTGCTGTCCTTGTCTAAAAAGTGGGTGACATTGTTTGGATGTCACCCCTCACACTCTACACTCTGCACTCGGTGCAAGAGATCCTAAATCAGGTCCGCGCGAACTAAACATCTCTCTGCAGCACAGATATGACCAAATACGAGGTAGCCCTCCTAACCCCTACTAAACCTCACTATCAAAACGATGCACTATTCTTTAAACCCAGCTTCTCTTCTTCCTGTGTGGAAGACGAGAAGGGGGGGGGAGACAGCAACGACAGTGCGCTAAATCATGCAACCCGACTAATAATACTAACACCTCTTCTGCTAACATGTCTTCTTTATCCCCACTACTAACCTCTCTCTTCCAAAGGACATGACTGCATTTCTTTGATGGAACTGGAGTCAGCGGCGATCAGCCCGGTGAAGGAAGTGCCATCTACCGGTAGCGAAGAATCTTTTTGTCGATGGGTCCAGGTACTACACCCAAGACGGTAAGCCACACACTTGGTTACGCGGTCAGTCTACAGGAAGTGACGTTGCTGGGAAAAGGGATCTTTGAATGGCACATATGTCAGCTCAGGAAGCTGAGCTGTGGGCACTTGGCCAGGGCATGTGAGTTGCATGAAGGTCAGAGGATTAATGTATAAAACTGATTCGAGGTATGCGTTTGGTATAGCACATGACTTTGGTCCCATCTGGAAAGCGAGGGGTATTCCTCACAAGTTCAGGTAAACCGGTGAAGCATGCAGAACTGATTGACAGTTGTTATCATTGCTTTCGGGCCTGCCACGGGAGATAGCTGTTCTTAAGGTGAAGGCTCATGCTACTGAGACTAATGTGGAGGCATGTGGAAACGCTTTGGCAGTTTGGTCCGCAAAGGCCGGTGCACTGGTTCAGGAAAGGGGGTTCTGATGCTGGCCATTCCTTCCAGAGGTTTCGTTAGACGAGTTTAAAAAGCTGCAATCGCAGGTGGGTTTGCAGGGGAAGGCTAGATGGACAGCAGCAGGAGCCTCCCAAGGGTCGAATGACATTTGGTGCCTGAACAAAAGGATGGAGTGTTGAGCCAAAGCGTCCACTTTTCCCCATGATGGCCCACTTGGCTCATTTACCCTGGGCACCAATCTAAGACGGCTATGAGTGAGTGCGTTGGTAGCAAGCATTGGATTGCACCTGGGTTAAGTTACTGCTGCAGCTACATTTGCAGCTTCTTGCCTAACCCGTTTAAGTGCTCTACACTACAAACCTGGCAGAATGGTAGTAAAGCCCCAAAGGCACTCACCAAAACCTGGAGATAGCCCCTTCCAAGACCATCCAGAGCAATTACATCTCGTTACCAATAGAGTATGGGCTGTACGAAATACGCCTTGGTCTGTTTAAATATGTTTTCAGGCTGGCCTGAGGCAAGGAAAATCCTGTCTGCGGTTGTGGCCACTGGGGTCTACCTGAAACCATGGAGTCCGATAGGAGTCACACTTCACTGACCCCCGAAAGCGCAGGACAGATCTTTGCATGAGGTATGTAAAGCCCTTCACATCAACCAAGGGCTACACACCCCATATCACCGACCGAGAGTAGCGGTATAAAGGTTGAACGTCTCAACAGAAATCCTAAAAACAGGATCTCCAAAATCATGGCTGATACCCCCAAAAACCCTTGGCCTGAGTGTCTCCCCCCCCCCCCCCCCTTTTTTTCCCTCTATTGCCATCTAATTCCGCGGGAATGCCCCCGGCAACCACATGGGGCTTGTCACCCTACGAGGTGATCATTTGGGGGACCTCCCAAAACAAGGTTGTACATTATCCTCAACAGTTTTGTCGTCTTTGCATTCACAGCTTACAGGTTTACGTGCATGATCTCTGCAACGGGAGCTGCAGAAGATACACCATCCGGGTTTGTGAATCGCTCCCCGATCCAAATGCAAATAACGGGTGTTCTTTCTATTGAGAGCCAGGTGAATTGGGTCGTCCTAAAGAAACATCAAAGAACCGAACGAGCCACCGGACTCGAGCCACGATTCACCGACCATACCAAGTCCAGCTGACGACACCTACCTCACTCAAGCTCGAGGGGCGAGTCAACTGGGTGCAACACGCAAGCCACTGCAAAGAAGCCTTAGTTCAGCTAATCACAAGAGAAGAGGGGTGTCATTTTCCTTTTTCCTTTTTGTTTGTATGCCTTCTACAGTGTGTGTGAATGAGAGGAAAAGACCTCAGAGAAGCCCCAACCTTTTAAAATTTAAAATGCATCTGCGATTAGCCAGAGCCGCCAACAAAACCAACTGTTGGGTATGCTCTAAGCCCCACCCAGTCATCACATGTCCACCCGCACTGGCCCTGTTCATCGCCCTATATGACATCCGTGTCGGCATGAAAAAGCAAGGGACCCCGTGTCGGCACCCACGTAGTACATTTGTCTGTAGAACTTAATGACACATTTTTAGCAGGTAACATCAGTTTTCAGTACCAATATTGAGCTCTAGCTCCTGTATGGCCCTCATCAGGTCCATTATGGGGGTAACTGGGCAGCTACTGGCAGCCCTCAGGTGTGCTTTTCACATCAGCTTTAGTGTGTTCAGAATACAAGTTTGTTGGGACTACCACCTGCGAGGAGGTATAACCACTTCAATCTGACTAACCAGACTTTCCCTTCTAGTGAGTAACCACACTGACCGACCAGACCAACGTTGATTTGGAAGGACGGGATGAGATGTGTGCAGACTCGAGGGAGCAATCCCCCAGTCTGTGCAACTGTTACTCAGGTGCCAGAGGCCGAACGAAGAACTCTTCCTGCTCTGCTCTGACAGTCCGTACTATTTTCTGTGTGATTCGGGTCAGCCTATAGAACATTTCCCCAGGAACGCGGAAAGGTTATGTGTGCCCTCATAAAGCTAGTCCCCGCATCCTATGTAGTGATGGATCATGAAGAGTTTGATGGTCCACAAAGAAGGTAGGGATGGCAGGGAGAGTTCGCAGGGGAGCTGTTCTCTGAGGGCGACCAGCATGGGCTTCGTTCCCCTCATGGACAGGTTGGGGAATAGAACTTATGAAGCGCCTGAACAATTTTTTCTGTCATCGTGGATAGTATGTTAACGACCGTAGAGGCTGTCAGAGAAATTGCTCAAGAACAACGGAAGATGGAAATTTTATTGCTTCAGGAAAGATGGCCCTTGATTACCTTTTAGCCGCCAAAGGGGGTTCTGTGAGTTCATCAGAGAGGATTGTTGATACCTGGATAGAAGACACCGATGACAAGGTCAGGCCCATATGGACAAAAGTTAGTTGAACTACAGGGAAATAGCTATAGCTATAGCTAGTGAGGGTTGGAATCCGTTCCAAGGGTTTTGGGAGGATTGGGGAGATTTCCTGTTCTCCATCGGATCTTGGTTGAAGGAAGTGGGAGTGTAATTCCTGATGCTTCTCTTTTTTCCTAATGCCTCTTGTATGCCGCAGTGAGATGTTCCTGTTGCCTCATCAACCGTGTAAACCAAGCTCGGGCAACGACCACATCTCCATGCCCGCTCCACTGGGAATCCCACTTCCCAACCACTGATCGGAGGAAGACCTCACCAACCAGCCACCTTCTCTGCTGCAGGTTACGTCCTGGCTTCCCTCTAATTTATCTCCCTGAAGACCATGTTCTCCAAGACCTCCAAGCAAGCTTCAAGCCACATCGTTGTTTGTGTAAAAAGCTGCAAGATTTGTTTGTTCCGCCTTTTGGAAAACCGTATGGGTTCGAGACCAGAGCCTTGTGTGGCCCCCGTTTGCAGGGGTAATTTGAGAATCTGCTGCCGGATCTCCCCAGACCACCGTGGGATCACAAGCGTAATTATACCACAAGTCTGGTTCCATTTGCCGGAACAGTTTGAAAAAGTTCTGTTTTCGTTTTTGCAAGAGCCTTCCTGTAATGAAGGCTCCAACGCTCTTGAGGATCATTGCTTCAATCAAGCCTGTCTGCATCGAGTCTGCGTCAGATCTTGTTGTTTCAGGTACCCCCGTGGAGCTTTATTCTCAGGGGACAGCTACAGGAACTCTGGTCTAAGACCAACTCTTTAGGTTTTGAGACTACACCCCATCAAGCTGAAGAAGATACAAGAAGGGACACGTGGAGAATATGATAAACAGGAGGAATGTCCGTACGCAAATTTTCTATAACAGGTTATCATCCTTTAATAGTTGTCCATATATTAGTGTTATGCATTCATATTCTCCTCTCGTGTGGCTTAATTAAAGCTCTGAAGGCTGCAATTAGGCCATGCGCATTTTACAATTGTATATATTTTACAGTAACTCAGCTCGGTAATTGATGAGATGGCAGATCTGCGCTTATAGACCAGCGTGTATCCAGCCACCCCACCACAGGATCGATGCGAATGCCGCCGGCGGTAGAAGGACCGCGGGCCTGGATTCACATATCAGCAGCATAGTAACCACATGGACTTCGTATGGCCAGCGCCCAGGCAGTGCGAACTCCGCGTGTAGCTCATGTACATCTCTACAAGCCTGAACTGTATCTGGATGGATGTGTTTTTAATAAAGATCGTATCGGGCCCATTCCAGATACAGACTGGCACTGTTATAATCTAAGGGATGCTTGTACAGACAATGTACATAACTGCTGGTAGCTGATAGCATGTATATAATGTGAAACCTAAACTCGCTCTCCGAAGCGAGCTTACGGGGAGGACGGAAAAACTGGAAAAATTGGTTTTTAGTATAGGTTAAGAGGGAACTTTGCACTCCGAGCAGGATGGACATTCTCGTGTAGATGGACACTTTCCATACATTGTTCTGTGGGAAGGGATTGACTTAGCCCCGTGCGGGGGGGGTTTTTGTAAGATAATAAAAACAGGAGTCTGGTGTTAACCCCGGCAGAGTGGATTCCAACTTTAACCTGGGGAATCGTCTGAATTATTCCTGGATTACTGGAGCTCCATTTCCCACCATCTCAAAAGAGCTTAAACCTTTGCACACACCGGTTGGAGGTGCAGGAATCGTGGAGCTAAGCTTTGCAGTTGCGGTAAGCGGAGGGCGCAATACGGTTGCAGCCCGAAGTTCGCACAGCATTTTTCAGGTATGGGGATTGCTGCACATCCAACTATAATGTGGGCACTCACGGTTAACTCACGGAAAATTCATTGAAAGCGAATTTCCAAGACAAAATACTCCTACAAGGATTGGGGTTTATTCACAAATACACGTATATTTAGGCAACAAGTGTACTCACAGTCCTCAGATAGGGAGATGGGAGTGCAGAGAAGGAGTTTGGTCTGGGGCAAGCTGTTGATGGCGCGCAGTCATGTTGGAACAGAGAAGGGGCCATCCTTAAACTGTTCCCCACAAAGTTGGGAGCATGAAATTTGACTAAAATATCTTGGTATGCTGATGCTTTAAAAATTCTCTTCACTGAAACAAAGGGGTCCAAGCCCAAATCCTGAAAAGCAACCACACACCATAATCCCCCCTTCACCAAACATTTGCACTTGGCACAGTGCAGTTTAGACAAGTAGCGTTCTGCCAACCACCAAAACCCAACAAGTCCATCAGATTGCCAACAGAGAAAGTGATTGATCACTCCAGAAAACACGTCTCCACTGTACTAGAGTCCAGTGGTGGCATGCATTACACCACTGCATCCAAAGCTTTGCATTGCACTTGGTGTAGATGTAAAGCTTGAATGCAGCTGCTCGGCCCACGGAAACCCATTCCAATGGAGCTCACTACGCACTGTTCTAATCTGAAGGCCACATGAAGTTTTGGAGGTCTTCAGCTATTGGCTCTGCAGACAGTTGGTGACCTCTGTGCACTATGCACTTCAGCATGGCTGAGTTGTCTTTTGTTAGGGTATTCCCAATTGGCTTCTACGTTGACAGTGGAAAATTTAGTAGCAAGGAAATTTTATGGATGGACTTATTTCACAGATGGCAACCTATAAACGGTACCATGCTTGAATTCACTGAGCTCCTCGAGAGTAACCCATTCTTTCACAAATGTTTTGTAGAAGCAGTTTGCTTGCCTAGGTGCTTGATTTTATACACCTGTGCCATGGAGGTTGAGATGGAACACCTGAATCCAATGATTTTGAAGGGTATCCCAACACTTTCGGCAATATAGTGTAGAAGGCACTACAATCACATTTCATGTAATACACTATGTGCCGACTAATTGACAGTCAGTATAGAAGTGAGGGACTGAAGATACGTCCATTTGGCAAGGTTATCTACAGCAATTGCATCTCCCCATGGGGCTGTTCCCAGAATTACCATTCCTAGTTTTTCTTTTTGTTGTGGTAGTGTGGACCAAATGGTCCTTTAGAGACAGTGATCTTCCATATGTAATTTCTCCCATGGATAATTAGATACATTGTCATCTGCTAAGAGTAAAAGTACTTCTCCATAATTTGTGACAAATCTATCTTTGTTGTCCAGAATAGCCTGTAATCATTGTAACATTCTGTTTAAAAAAAAAAAAAAACATAGTGTTTTAATATATTCATGATTTGATAGGAGGTTATATAAAATAATATAGGGTAATGGGGTATGTACCATTTTATTATTATTGTATGTAGGTACCAGGAGAGCCAGCTGTGAAGAGGATGGCGGCCCCCACCAGCAGGGTGGTACGGATAGTGGCCCCGTGGGTTGTAAGCGGGTACGTGTTGGTGTGGTAATCGGCGGGCTTCAAGAGTAGTCGGGTCACACGCAGGGTCAGCCTGGGTAAATCAATCTGTAGGAGCAGTCGGGACAAGCCGAGTCAAAACGCAGGAGCAGGCAGAATAGTCAGAAACAAAGCCGGGCTCAAATCACAGGAGCGGGTAGATTGGAATAGTCAGAACAAAGCCGGGTCAATCTCAGGGGCAGGCAGCGTAAGTCAGGGTCAAAAACAGGGTCACAGCAGGAGCAGGTATTCAGGATCACACATAGACCTTGCGGCAATTTGTGACAGTGCAGGGCATCTTTAAATAGTGCGCCCCTGCACTGTCATTGGGCTGGCTAGGACGCGCCCCGGCTGTCATTGGACGCCTGAGGCGCGCCCGCGGTTTCTACTGCGCATGCGCGGCGTCCTGTCAGCCGCGGCTCGCCGGACCCTAGTTCCTGTGTCCCGGCGTGATCTGCCGCCAATGCGCATGCTGCGGGGGACAGAGCCGCGATTGCGGCAGACGGAGCCGGGATCCCTGACATGTATAGTGGGATCAAACCCTCAAATCCTCCTCAGCATCTACTGATATCCACTGATCCACTTTCTCCATCCATAGATATCCTTCTACTCTAAGGGGTCGATAATTCAAGCAGTGGCTCCTCTCCTCTGCTGCCACTTCTAGCAACGTCTCCTCTCTGTTTTCCTGTCTGAGAGGATTGAGGGTTTGAGATCCCACTATACGCTTTGACCTTCACGGGTCGAATTATATGAAGTAAACAAACCCACGGTCCATCGGTATTATATTCCCCAGAATCTCTTGTATGCATTGCATTATTTCTTGCCAGAACTTCTGTATTTTAGGACTATATATTTGTCATTGTTCCCTTCATCCCCACACCCCCTCCAACATAAAAGTGAAACTTCTGATCCTTGTTTATGTGCTTTACACTAGGTGTAATGTACCATCTAACTAGACATTTATAATTAATTTCTACTGTATTCATATTCATTACCCCCATGTGTTAATTTAAATATTTAATTTTTTTGTTGCTCATTTAATTTTTGTTCTTAGTTTCTTTTCCCACTTTTCTAAGTACAATGGAGAATCAGATACAGCTATTACAATAAGGATTCTTATAAATACTGGAAGTGGTATGTAATTTGAGTTGTATTTGAACTAAACATTCGTTCAAATGGATACATGTCCTCCACTGTCCCATTAGTATGAATAATGAATAAAGCGAGCGCTCAGAAAAACCAGCTGCTGGAACACTTCAAGGAATCACTAAACCTCATAATAGAGACAATATATAACATATAGTGCAGCGCTGAAAAAGTATAGAAAATGAAATTGTGGTTAAAATTATATATATAAACTATATAAAAAGTCTTTCTTATGACAATATAGTCAAATATGTGCAGCGTCTTCTCCTCATTAGGTGACTGGAAAATAACAAGATTGCGCACTCACCGACCGCACATTTAAATATGCGCCTGTGTATGATATATTCCCAAAAGACCAGCCAGTTAATACAGCTCCATAGACCACACGGATCCTCCCACTCCAACACCTCTCGTTTGCCTTGGGTGTAGCAATATCTCCAGATCCAAAGGTAGAAAGACAGAGATCCCCCTTCCCTTGGTTCCAGACACCCCAGGAATGGAAGATGTGTATCTGCACTCTCCAACAGGAGAGTCAAAGAAAAAGGGGAACGCCAATAGTGTGGTACTATCAAAAAACTTTAATTGGAGCAATAAATTGCCTGGGTTCATATGCACAGCATTATATCCATACACCATTAGAGCCAATAACGGACAGGTAGAGTATGAAAAGGAAATAGTAGTACTAATAAAAAACCACCAACACCCCCCCACCAAAAAAAAAAAAACCCCCCACACACCACAAACACAAAACAACAAAAAAAAAAAAAACCCGGCAATTGGGCATTAAAAACAAAGACCCCCCCCCAACCAGACCTCCTCTTGGTCCCAGGTGGTCTGTGGAAGGTCACACTTGCTACTTGGCTCCTCCTGAGGACTTTCGTGGCCAAAAAGCACTTCTCAGAGGATGGACCGCCACTAGCAGTAGTGTGACCAGCCAGAACTTTCCATTTAAACGCACGATCCCCGCGCTATGGCGCGAAAATCCCCGCTCCTATCGTGAAAAGCGGGTACTGCTGCCATGGCGCGACACAGCGGCCATCTTGTGGCCGTGGATCGCGGCAGTTGCAGTATCAAACTGCGCATTGGTCTCCAACCCAATCTCCGCCATAATGCCATGGATCATAGTGGCAGCAAAGAAAAAAACTGCTGCTGAAGATTAACCCACTGAGAGAAACAGAACAAGTAACCTCAACACTTAAGTGAGCTCTTATTATTATATGGCTAGATGCAGATACCTAGCCCCACCCCAAAGGGAAGGCACTTAGGAAAGGCCCACCTGGAGTAATAATTCCAAGTAAGGGAAATCATTTAGTATATTATAGTAGAGGAATATTATTTTTGCACCAAATACGTTGCCGCAAGAGCCCCCTCTCAGGAAATCACTAACACCACCATGGCAAAAGGGCTAATGCCAATCCAACATACCAA